CGCGCCGCCGAGACCTTTCCGACGATACCTCGCACGCCTTCCTACGACTTTTCGTTATCGAGATTCTCATTTTGGCGACGACCGACGACGCGCGCCGACGGCGCCGGCTGCGGCGGCGCCGGCGCCGCCGGCGTCGTCGTCGTCGAAATCTCACCCTTACGTCGTGGACGATAAACGGGTTGCGCGAATAAGATCTACGTCTAAGCTAAGCGAGATCGAGGTTCAACAAAAGGTAGGTACCTCAAATGCTAAAAATTCATTTTTATATATATGTATATGTAATTATAGAGCCCAGTGTATGTGTACGTTTCTAGGCATTGTTATAATTAAAAGAAGATAACAACTCAAATTCGACGTTTTCGAAAATAATTTAAAATCGGCTTTGACGATTTTCAAGAAATTTTTACACGAGCCTCGAATTCCGAAGCCGCGATTTTTACGATGCCCCGCTACCCCGGGAAAATTCGTCTTCACCCCCCCGCTGTCACCCCCCAAAATCGCACCTCCGAAGAAAAATTCGCCGAGGGTCGCCCGTCGAACTGGAAAAATCGAGCTCGCGGATAGGGGGGGTAGGAGGGTCGAGGCTTTCGAGGTACTCGATCGCGAAAGTCGCGACACCCCCCCGCGGGGGAGGACGCGCACGAGAAAACGGGAGCGGAAAGAGAGCGAAATTGCTCGAAAAGTAGCCCTACTTCCCCCCCTCGAAACGCGATCGATCGATAGTCCCGACCGTCCCGCGTGAGACGTACGGGGTCCCATTCAAAAACTATGGGCCGTTTGGGGGGGAGGGGGGCGCGAAGTTTGCCCTTATCGACGTCGCTCCGCTTTATCCCTCGCGCCGCGGAAACGAGACGACCTAAGAAACACTTACGATCGCTCAAATGCGGACCCGAACGTCGGACGGAGTATGACGCGTCATACGACCAATTCTCCCGGTGGGTTCGGGAGGGAGGAATTTTCGAACGACACTCGGACCCGATCGCGAGATTCGGAATGATCGTCGATAAAAAATATTTACGGCGGTCGAGCGGCATAGGAGAGGGCGAATTTTGGGAAAGTCGATCGAGTCTTTTCTTCGACGCGCCTTTCGCACCCCGACCGCCCCTCCGTTGACCCCCCCCGGACCTTCAAACGTACCACTTCGCCTTTTCGACGTTTGTTCGGGAACCGCGAGGGTTAGAACGACGCGGTTTGTTGCGTCGATCTCGTATCGGCATCGTCCGACCTTACGTCCGACATTTCCCCCCTCCCCCCCTCCATATCGTCGGTAAATTTCAAATTTTAAAGGTTATTAGGGAACGCCGACTCTTAAAACGAGACGGTCGTCCACGTCGATCTCCCGTATCGATCGGAGTGCGTTCGGGAATCGACGGCGAATCGCGAAAAGCCGCGAGGCGAGGCGGCGCAGCCGCCGAAGCCGAGCGAAGTGTCAATTTTCGTTCGGAGGAGGTAAGTTTTTGGCAAGTCTTCGATCGGAGTATTCTCTTCGAAGTCCGTTACGTACCCCGGCACCACTCCGTTAACCTCCCATCCCCCCCTCCCCCCTAAAAACCTTTAAACGTACTCTGTTCGAAAACCGCGAGGGTTAGAACGATGCGGTTTTTTAAGTCGATCTCGTATCGGTATTCTCCGACTTTACGTCCGACACTTCCCCCCCTCCCCCCCCACCCCACCCTCTTCTCTTCGGTAAATTTCGTATTTTAAAGGTTATTCGGAAACTCCGAGGACCAAAACGATGCGGTTTTTTTTACGTCGGTCTCTTCCGTATCGATCGGTGTGCGTTCCGGAATCGAACAAAGAAGCGAGGCGAGGCGGCGCAGCCGCCGAGACCGAAAGACGGATTTTTTTTCGTGTCTCGATGTGCCAAACGAAACTCGGAGACGCGTCGACGGCCCCGACCGACGTAAAATATCGAGTTCCGGAGTGCCCACGTACGGAGACGACCTTTCGAATCGAAATTTTCCAAAAATTTATCGCGTAATCGATATTCCCGAGGGGGCAACTCGAAAATTCAAAAACGTCCCCGATTCGATCGATCGACACGTCGGACGTTGCATTTTACCTCAAAGGACACGTTACAAAAGGTTTCGTCGAAATACGAGTCCTACTTCGAAAGTTATCCCAAAAATTAAAAAACGAAAAAATTTCCATACTATCCCCTTCCTTCGAAAAAATCGAAAAAAAAAATTGTCAAAAATCGTCGTTTTTTCGACGTCATCTTATGCGTTTTGACGCGGAGATTGCAAAAACGAGAAAAAATTCTAATAAAAGATTTACGGTTTCGACGCTAGAGGGCGCTTTTTGTTTTTCGAATTTTGCGCCCCTTTACAAAAAAATTCGTAATTTCGTCAATATTCGAGGTATTCGAGAGGTTAAGGCGGCGATCGAAAGAGGAAGGACGAGGCTATTCTACGACACCTTCACCTCCCCCAAAAAATCGAAGGCGTCTCCGGGAGAGGTCGTGGAAAAAAAAATGAAATTGCTCACGAAAATGGGCGCAAAACGGGCACTTGCCGGTGGAATTCCGGGGACTTTTCGATACTAAACGATCACTTTGGATGCGACCTTCTATAAATTTGCCCCGGAGTCCCCACGATAGGATCGCAAGTGCGTTAAATCGTAATCGATATGAAAACGGCGATTTTCGAAAAAATTTTGACGAAAAATTAAATTTTTTTTTTTTTTGCCAAAATCGACTCTACACTACGAGATTAGGTGAGCGGTAAAGTTTGGCGAGAATACGCGGTCCCCGAGTGACTTTTTTGGGCACTCGAACGTCGATATTTGTAAAAAATCGCGTATATTTCTTATTTATCGGGAAATCGAAGGTGGTTTTACACAAATAATCAACCCCCTCCCCCTCCCCCTCCCCCCCCCTTCCCCCACAATTAGGTCAGATTGCAATTGGGTTAGGTTAGATAGACGCGTTAGCTAAGGTCGCGATGTGTAGTTAGGTTAGGTTAGGTTAGGTTAGGTCGACGTGCGCGGTTAGGTTAGGTTAGATCGACGTGTTAGGTTAGATCGAAATGCTCAGTTAGGTTAGATCGCGGTTAAGTTAGGTTAGGTCGACGCGCGCAGTTAGGTTAGGTTAGATAGACACGTTAGGTTAGGTCGAAATGCTCGGTTAGGTTAGGTCGACGCGCGCAGTTAGGTTAGATTGCAGTTAGTTGGAAAGTTAACGCGGCCCATCCTAACCGCGCCGCCGAGAGCTTTCCGACGATACCTCGTACGCCTTCCTGCGACTTTTCGTTACCGAGATTCTCATTTCGGCGACGCCCGACGACGCGCGCCGGCGTCGGCGCCGCCGGCGCCGAAACTTAACACGACCCATCCTAACCGCGCCGCCGAGACCTTTCCGACGATACCTCGCACGCCTTCCTACGACTTTTCGTTACCGAGATTCTCATTTCGGCGACGCCCGACGACGCGCGCCGGCGTCGGCGCCGCCGGCGCCCAAACTTAACACGGCCCATCCTAACCGCGCCGCCGAGACCTTTCCGACGATACCTCGCACGCCTTCCTACGACTTTTCGTTATCGAGATTCTCATTTTGGCGACGACCGACGACGCGCGCCGACGGCGCCGGCTGCGGCGGCGCCGGCGCCGCCGGCGTCGCCGTCGTCGAAATCTCACCCTTACGTCGTGGACGATAAACGGGTTGCGCGAATAAGATCTACGTCTAAGCTAAGCGATCGAGGTTCAACGAAAGGTAGGTACCTCAAATGCTAAAAATTCATTTTTATATATATGTATATGTAATTATAGAGCCCAGTGTATGTGTACGTTTCTAGGCATTGTTAACAGGATCGAAAAACCGAAGCGAAGCTTCGGTTTTTCGATCCTTAAATAAGGAACTCAACCGTTTACTCGATTTTCATTTTTAATTTAATTAATTGTACTACCGATTTTGTGAAAATTTTATCGTAAGCTTTTTAAGCGATTTCGCATCGATTCTGAGAATTTGGGACCTGGGAAAATTCGCTGGGCGGCTGGGGAGCATCGTCGTCGAGGTGCGCGGGCGCGGATAAAAATTTGCCGTTTCCATACGGTTCGAGTTACGGAGTCGAGACGCCGGTTCGGGGAGTTTAGATAGTCGGCGCGACTTTCGGTGGGGTTAAGGAAATTCCCGCGGCACCCGTCGGGGTAGCTGCCATAAGAAGCGAAAAAATTGAAAATTTTAGAAAAAAATTCGTAACTCGAAAACTAAGTCAAAGATCCTATAGGGGTTTTCTGAGGTCTCGGCCGACGCGAAGGAGCGTATTTGTGCCGGGGTGCGATTCAATTCTATGGTCCCGTTTGGGAACCGCGCGACCCGGAGGGTCGCTCTCGAAAAGGTGCTTTTTCGAATTTTCCAACTTTGACGCCTTCTACCGGCCGAACGGTTAGAGTTAGAGCAAAACGTACAATTGCGCGATTGTAGATCTCGACGAGAGGTCGCGCTGCCACCCCCCGGAGAGGAGTGAGAGGAGAAAAACCGGAGATTTTGAATAGCGCGTTCCGGCGAAGAGATACGGGGTCGAAATCGGCGTCGATACCTGCGGGCAAGTTTTCTCTTTCTTTTTCCGTTTACCTCGAGGAGGTAACTCGGACGACGGCGCCGTGGTAAATTTTCTCCCGAAGGTCTGCAAAAGTCACGTGACCGCTTCGTTTTGTTTTTCGCCTACATTAAGCGCCGAAGATTGCCGAACGCGCGCTAACCGCTTTTTAATTAATTGCGAGCTTAATTTTGGACGGAGAATTTCGGTAGAGGTCCCAAAAATTCGAGAAAACTACGAGGAATGTGTTAAAATCGGTTTCGGAACGGTGCGTGATCGATTTGTGTTCGAAATTAAGTGATAAAGTTTAAGTGTCGGTTAACTGTCAAACGGATTCCGTCAAGTTTTAAAAGTGCTTTTAAACCGAAATTAACGTATTAAAATGATCGGTAAGTGTTCGAAATTGATTATTATAAACTTTAAAAGTGCTTCGAATAAGTGTGGAGTAAATAATGTGCGTTTAAATAATTTTCCAATTTACGTAATCTCGACATACCTACTTATATTAGTTTAAAAGTAGTGTTAGTGTAAGTTGCCATGGCCTAGCGGTAAGCAATCCGGACTTGGAATTGGCAACCGCGTGTTCGAACCCGAAGGCGCGCGGCCATTTTTTTTCTATAATGTCCCAAATTTTTTGTTATAATTATTTTAATTAAAAGGAACGAGGATAGTTACAATGTTACAATGGAAAAGTTACTGCTGAAGATTTAATTTATATGTAGCGAATTGTATCTTGGGCATATCTTGAAATTTGAAGACGCGAGAGAGGTTTTTAAGTTAACGGTGACGTAGAAGAGTTTTTCGGTTATAATTTTTTTAAGAGACTTTCCAGACGGGTACATTCAATGGGGAATATTTAGCTCGAATTATTAGCTATCGTATGCACCGTTTCCCGTCCGAATCGATCAAAAAATAAAGGTCCTGCAAATTTTTTTTGTAAAAAAAAACCGTCAGGTCGCCTGTTTACCAATTTTCCTTTATAATGTTTCAACGATAATTCGTAGGTCTGTACTTATAATGGGAAAAATTGAGCATAATTAGTACTCTATTTAAATTGACCTCTCCGAAGAAAATCGAAATCCCATTAAGCCCGTGCCGAGAGGTTATATTTTAATAAAAATTAGGGAGTCACGTCGATATTTAGATCCTCGTCGCGAATGTATGTAGTTCGTTCTACGACGGTGGCGCCATTTCATTTCCAGGTTCCATTGTGGTCACGTTTCGTCTTGGGGGACGTTTAGTAAATTTTTCATTTACGTTCATCGGTCCATTTATATTGTTTTTAATTGTTTATTTTATTGGTAAGTGAATTATGGTATACGATTCAATTTATGGCGACACGTATTTTTGTAGATTTCGAAGACATTCTTCCACCTCGTGAAATTGGTATCTTCGTGGGATCATTTTACCCTTTTTTATCGTTTAATTTATCTTGTAAGTGACAAATTCCTAGCAAATGTACTACAATGAAATTGAAAAATCTTTTGTTAATAGGATTTCAGGTTACCTTCGGTTCGGCATCGGTATCTACCTATGGGGCCACCGAAGAAGTTGAAAGGGGCGGCTTTGAGTTCGCGTAATGCCAAGATTCTTAGACTAGGTATGTTTAAATGTGATTCTATTGTCAGATTGACGAAAACTGTTTTTTTTTAGCTTCGAGTACCGACTTCGACAAGAGTGTCACGAGCAGCCCGAATGATGTCGAAGGCAAGGATCCTTTGTCGCAGCCAGGAAAGAAGGTTGGATTAAAAATTACATTGATGTGAAATCGTTGTTGCTTATGATCGGAATCTTTGAGACCTATTAAGGTTGATTTACATGTGCCGAATCATGAATCGATACGATCGAGTAAAAGTTACTTCCAAAATGAGTTTTCCCAACTTTGCATTGTACATTTGTATTTTGACACGGTCATGATTCTATGTAATCGAGATGTGTACCCGAATAGAGCATTCGGTTCGAATGATTCGGTCCAATACATTTGATATCGGACCGACCAAACATGTTACCGATGAATGTCGCTTAAGTGTGGAAGAGCTACTCATTTGGACTGAATGCTCTAGTCTGTGCATACGTACTTATGTTAATCAACCTTTATAGCCTTTTTTCGCATGGTGTGAATGGATTTTTTGGCAGACATGGTTAGAACGTTCACAATATAAATTATTAATTTATATTTTAAAACCCTAAGTCATTTTTACTAAGTGGATGATTATAATCATTCCCTATGGTATCAGTATATACCATCAGGTTGAAACTTTTCCAATAAATTGCCAATCCTGTAACCATTTTGCATGCATCCTTGTCCAAGGGGGTGGCTACCGTGCTGTACCCCATATAGACCAAGATCCTCTGACTCCTAGGCTACTTCCTTATTTTATAGATCTCGGCGCATTGCTTCCGATACAGGTGTGTAGGATGGGTTGCTATGTACAGTTTTTCATAGTTAACTCTAGTAACATGAATAAAATTTAGATTTTGTACGTAAGATTAGTAGAGTTATAATTTCTGAAAGTTTAAGGGTATCAATCACATGTCTTGAGGATGAATGAATTTAAGAAAATTACGCTTTACTATTTGACGTAATAAAGTTGGTATTTTATACATACACCTTTGATGATCCCAAAGTACACAGTACTCCCATCTCACCTACCTGTCTTGGAAGCATGCGCAGTTGACAACCTTCTTATATATCGAGGGATCTATTCGAAATTTCTATTGTAGGTTCATGTAATAAAAGTAAACGTAATGAAGATACAAAAAATCGTACTGCGTACTTTCTTGTATATCGAGGGATTTATTCGAAAAGCTAAGGCATTATTGCTTCGATGCTCAAGACATGAATATAATACAATTTTGCCGATTCTATTTTCATCAAATTGTTAAGATTGTTAATTATGTATAGTGAAAATTTCTCTATTTTTTTTATACACTTTCCCATGGACTAGAGGCCCACAAACTAAATGAGCATATAATAATAATAATAATGAAATTTATTGTAATCAAGAAATCTTACAAATGGACAAGGGTTCGCCTATTAGGCGATCTACCATCCTTCCAAATCCTGATCATAATTAAAAGTTATACCACAAATCTCTTACCAAGCTAATAAAATGAACATAAATAAAGTTACAGTATTGAAAAATATAAAAGGATAATAATATTTCTACAAAATAGGTTTAAAAATAACAAATTATTAAAAAATTTAGCCACCCTAAGATTGTGGGAGTTTTACAATTTCCAAAAGACATGTTTTGAATTGATTTGGGTTACAGTTTAGTATATGAATTATTATCTCATTCAATAGTGATACAGCACTATAAGCAAAGCTTCCCTGAAACTTGCATATTTACAGAGTGGACCGCCCAAGAAACCGCATAAGTTATCGGGAGCTGCGCTTCAGAAAAAGTTGGATAAAGAGCAACGTGACAATCCAGGTAATTTTCTCTTTTTGTTTATAAATTTATATTCTTGATACTAAAACACACTCCAATTTTGGTTATGCATGTTTAGTAACTGTTCATTTGAAAATTCTTTTATTTACATTTCTTCGTAGGATATACATTCCCTTACTTTTTAAGTTAAAGCCTTAACTTCTTTTTTAGCACACATCAATGTTGCTTCATGCCCGAGCAGCTCCAACTACCCAGGGCAGGTGGAAGCTGAAAAGGTAGAGAATTATACTAAATTATTAAAATTAAAATACTACATTTTGTACAGCGGCATAAAATGAAATAATAACAAGTTTTATATAATCTTTAATAAGAAAGTGATTTTAATTTTTTGATGCGACATTTTGTTTTCTATATATGTACCAGTATCAACTGTACACTTTTAAAATACGGATTTGTATTTTTTTTACACTTTTGAATAGCTTTTGATTTCCTATTGATGTATAACACTTATGCTACTCAATTAATTTTTTTAATTTTTAAAATTACATTATAATGCTCAATTTCACTTCCATTTAACCAATTCGATATAATGTTGTTGGATCAACAACTAAAACTTTTGGCGAAAACAAATTTAAAAAAGTTATTTAATACCTTACAATGTCTTGTAGTCCGGGAGGTAGCGTC